ACTTTGTCCAGTTTTTGATGATGTGAGGCAATTCTCAATGCAGCATGAATGACCTACACTGTAAAAAATAAATAAATAAATAAGTTATGCTTTTATATTGCATTAATTCATCACAATAACTTAAGTTATACTAGATTCAACTCATTTATTTAGTCAGTTTAATATTATTTAGGTTAAAAAAAAAAATTATATTTTTTTTAGGTTGAATTTTTTTTTTAACAGTATACAATAGCAACACAGAAAATCAAAATACTGCCCTAAAGTCCCTAGCAGAAAGGCAGCGCAATCCTCCCAATATGCCATATAAACAAAAGCAGTGTTAGGCCATGAAAAACAGGATGAGTGAACAATCCTTTTACGCTTTACATTAGATTGCAAGTATAGGAGAAATGGAGGCGGAACCTCTATATGCCACATGATATGCTGTATTCCGCCTCCAAGGCGTATGCTCTAAGAAATGACGTCTGGTATTTTAGAACAGCCAAGGTTATTTGCCTGAGAAGCATGGATGATATTTGTGCAAATGGTGAGAATGTTTGAGTGTATGTGCCCCTAGATGACATGTCAAAGGTGTGCTCAAGGGGAAGTTTGAGTGACAGCTTTGCTTTAGGCCACTGCTAGCTAATCGTCAAGACCGACTGCCACTACTCGCAAATTAGTGCTTCTGCTCTAAGCTTTGACAACACTACTGACACGTGCTGACTTTGCGAGGGGCCTGTGAGACAGCTGACACACACGGACGTGTTCATGTGCTCATTTCTCATTGACTTATCAACATCCCTATTTCCAAGGGTTTGTCTCAAAGGCAAATAAGACCTTTTCACTGCAAATCTACCTTAAAGATGATATGCACTAGACTAGTGACGTTACCCTAATGATAGTTTACAGTAAGTACTCTACGAGACATAATAGTGATTCTCAGTTGTTTTTAAGTATTAAATTGTAATTGTTTTTTACAATAAATGTGATCTCTTTGTGCCCTTCCTAAATTGTATAATTGCATGTATGGAGATGTTCATGAAAAAATATTCATCTTCAAAGATCTATTTATACTGTGTGAGAAAATATTGACATTATAATGTTGTTTCAAAACTAAATAATTGGCTTTACTTTTCCAAACTTCATTGCACCCTCTTGTGGCGGCCCAGTTTTATAACCCCTGAATTAGGATATAGACACAAAGGAGACAATTGTCAAACAGGAAGAAAAGCATTAGATGGTTCAGTTTGATGATTCTAGACTTTGGTATCTTTAAAACCAATCCCTTATGAAGCATTTGAGGCTATTCATATCTTTAGTTCAGTAGAAGAATCTGAGGAAAATTTTGCTTTCCATAGAGTTTCATTGTTGTCTACGGGGGACAAATTACAGATTAAAGAGTTCACTTTTATTCACCTTTTCTTTCCTTTTTGTGAATTAAATTCAGTGCTATTGTAATGTAGTAAGATGTGGTATTGTGTTCATGAATGAGACATAAAGCCTCTCTGTTGCCATTCACATGTGTTTTCTTACAATATTCAGAGAGAAGGGAGTCATAAAGCTCAGCTGCAACTGCCTTTAGTGTTTCTCTCTTAATTTCAATGTTAGTTAATTATTTCAGCTTTATACACAATCTCAAGTTACTGTGCCTGGCGGCAATTAGAGATGTGCATTCATTAAAACCTCCCATGTTCTTTCACTAATGGAGCCATCAGCTATAGGCCATGCCTAACCATCCACACAATGTGGGAAACTAATAATTGCACGCTCTCACATAAAATAGAAATACACATGTGCACCCTCCTTTATAGAGCGCACATTCTGTGGATCGAATGAGGCAAATGTTTGGAGTGCGGCTCATGCATATGTTTATGGGGTAATTTCTCCTCCTGAAAGACTTAGTAAACATATTCTGTTTACTTAATAAAATACTATTGTTACTATGTAGGTGTAATCCAGGTTACAAAAGTGCACGCCAAACCTATGAGAGAAGGAAGAAAAAAGACAGAAGTTAGATTATAAGTAATTTATTACTTTTATTGTAATGATAAAGAAAATAAATATGCATAACATGTAAATGTGACAAACTAGGAAAGAAAATAATTTGATTAGCTCCGCACTACACTGTTGTGTCATGACTAGTGCGCTTGAGGAGTGAGGAAGAAGTCGTCGCAGAGAAAGTTAAATGGCCGCCTGAAGAGTAATGCATGTAGATTCCACTGAAAAGAGAATATATATGGATTCGTCAGATGACCGCGTCCAGACAAATTTTCCTAGTTTATCTGGGATTATTTCCGATTGTTTTTTTGTTTTTTTTTGTTTTTTCTTTTCAGCATTCAGTCGCTGCTGTGTTCACACTGCACGATAGATCGGCGACAGAAGGTTTCACATGCACTGCATGACTTTATAAACGCTGACAACACTGTCTAGCACCCTGCGCGCAGACTACATATGTTTCACAACAAACACACGCCAGATGTGACAAGGAAAAATGCGACATCACCACACATGCAAGACCGAAGGTTGTGGTACAGCTCAGAGAAAACGCCAAACAGACACGGGTGCTCCCGCCAAATTTCTACTAATTTTTCTTCCATTTCTTGGGTCCAAATAGAAGATGTTTTTTTCTGAAACAATGCCATGTTGATATGTAATCTATAACTCCTCTGCTCTGTATCTTGCTCTCTCATTGGCTGTCGGTAATCGCCGATGTAGTTTTCAATCAGAACACTTTTCACACAGCAGGATTTTGAATCACCGACAGGTCCAGATATTTAGTATGCCAAATATCTCACGGGCGTCGGCGACTCATCTGCGATTCTCTCAGTTCACTCATGTGAATGAGCACCGATTTGCCTGTGATTTCAGGCATTTGTCTGCAATTTCTCAAAACCTGTCGGCGAGCCAAAATCGTGGATAAAATTGTGATGTCTGAACTCGGCATTAGAGGAAGCACATTCCATATCTTCAGGGCTTTACACTCACCTAAAGGATTATTAGGAACACCTGTTCAATTTCACATTAATGCAATTATCTAATTAACCGATCACAAGGCAGTTGCTTCAATGCATTTAGGGGTGTGGTCCTGGTCAAAACAATCTCCTGAACTCCAAACTGAATGTCAGAATGGGAAAGAAAGGTGATTTAAGCAATTTTGAGCGTGGCATGGTTGTTGGTGCCAGACGAGCCGGTGTGAGCAGGGCCTGAAATTAACACCCGACCACCTGCCAAATGCGGGTGAATTTTGCTATTGGCGGGTAACACTGTCAATCTACCTGCCACATTGGCAGGTAGCCAATGAGAATTGTGAGTGATTCATAGGATTTTTACATTTCAACGAAGTCAGCTATTGCGTTTGACTTTAGCTAAAATGTGGCGGCACATTACTGGGGTAAAGAGGCCAGCTGAAACAAAACAGCCAACAAAAAGATGAGGATGAGAAAAAGAAAAGTAAAGAAGACATTTTAATACAAAGTGAACAATCGGCGGCAATGGCAAGGTTCGTGAGCGGCTGATTTATGACAGCGACTGTTGTTTCGTAACGTTCATGCGATCAGAAAGAAGATGAGGCTCTTTTTCTGACTACGTGTGCGATTATTAAACTGTTGGTGAGATGGGATGAGATAATGTAACGCGTCGCTCTTGTAGGTTAAAGTACAATGACAGTTGCACAGATGTGTGTGCGTGTGCAATGTGCATGTTGGGAGTTGGGAACCGGTGAGAAAATGTCCGGTACCCGGTAATTTTATCAGTAATAACAGTATCAATTTAGTTCATATTTAACCGTTCCTGAACGCTGTAACTAAAAGCTGTTAAGAGTAAGACTTGTCTACGTGACTAAATCCGCCATCAACACAGCCGCGTGTGATTTGTTTACGAGCTGCGGTAGGTCTATCTGTTGAGTATATATTATAGCCTATACTATATATGTTGTGTGTGTGTGTGTCTGTTTTTTTTTTTTTTTTAAATGTATGTTATTAGAGTTATTATTACTTGACAGCACTTAAATGTGTATTCTTACAAGTTAAAGAACAATATTGTGAAATTCCTGTTTTTTTGTTTGTTTGTTTTTTACGTTTATGAGGCAAAAAAAAAAAATGGCTGGTAAAAAGTCTCTTTGGCAGGTGAATTTTTAAATCCACCTGCCACAGTGGCCGGTGGCCGAAAAAATTAACTTCAGGCCCTGGGTGTGAGTATTTCACAATCTCCTTGGTTGCTGGGATTTTCGCGCACAACCATTTCTAGGGTTTACAAAGAATGGTGTGAAAAGGGAAAAACAACACTGCAGTCTTTAGCCTCCTTGTTAGAGCGCCTGACTCTCATACCGGAGATCCGGGTTCGAGGCCCGTCGAGTTGGGGAGGGGTTACATTGGTGCCGTGACCCGGATGAGAGTGAGGTTTAGGGGGGTGAGTGTAATTGATGTCATGTGAGGGCAGATTGATGCAAGTACTTAAGTTCATAATAGCCGAGCAGGGAAACAGATCTAAAATACTGGTGGTTGAGTTCATGGACTTAACTGTAAGTCCATGACATGTATATAGATGTATCCTTGACAAATGCTTTCCACTTTTCATGCCATTTCTAGTTAAAAAAAATGTGTATTTCAATAATCACTAAAGCTCTCTATTCTGCTATAGATCATTAAAGGTTATGCTGCCTCAGAAATATGTCCGAAATCAGTTTCAGGAAGAACCTTAATGTGCAAACGCTGCCTGTAAAGTCATTTCCTGATTGTAAAACAAAATTCAACTTCTATTTTGTTAGACACTCTATTATGCTCATTTTTATTTTTTATTTTATGCACTTGAATAATACAATTTGCTGTGTTTTGTCAAAACTACTTAAGTTGAAAATCTAAAAAAAAAAAAGCTTTGCAGCTGGGTGCTTTAAGTTTTTTTTTTTTTCTTTTTTTTTTTACAGTAAGGGCCAGTAAGCAAGCCAATATACAGTATAAGCTGTCTAAGTTTTGAATGCAGTCAGACTCCTTACCCTTTACACTCTTTTTCTGTCTGTCCCTCAGGTAACATCTTTGTGGTGAGTTTGGCAGTGGCGGACCTGGTGGTGGCCATCTACCCATATCCAATGGTTCTGACCTCCATATTTAACCAGGGCTGGAACCTAGGGTACATGCACTGCCAAATTAGCGGCTTCCTGATGGGCGTCAGTGTAATCGGCTCCATTTTCAACATCACCGGCATCGCATTAAATCGCTACTGCTATATATGCCACAGCCTGAAGTATGACAAGCTCTACAGCGACAAAAACTCAGTCTGCTACGTACTGTTAATCTGGGCTTTGACAGTGCTCGCAATTGTGCCCAACTTGTTTGTGGGCTCCTTGCAGTATGACCCGCGGGTTTATTCCTGTACGTTTGAGCAGTCGGCGAGCTCGGCGTACACGATCGCCGTTGTCTTCTTCCATTTCATCCTTCCTATCATGATCGTCACCTACTGTTACCTACGAATTTGGGTTCTTGTCATACAAGTGCGTCGACGAGTCAAGCCTGACAATCGTCCCAAGCTCACGCCTCACGACATACGAAACTTTGTCACAATGTTTGTTGTTTTTGTGCTTTTTGCCGTGTGCTGGGCACCATTAAACTTCATCGGACTGGCGGTAGCGATTTCTCCAGAGCGTGTGGTTCCTTTAATACCTGAATGGCTCTTTGTGGCAAGTTATTTCATGGCATACTTTAACAGTTGTCTCAATGCAATCGTCTATGGAGTGTTGAACCAGAACTTTCGTCGCGAATATAAGCACATTGTGGTGTCGGTATGTACTGCGAGGATCTTCTTTGGGGAAAGTTCAAATGAAGCACAAGAAAGACTCAAGAGCAAACCCTCGCCACTCATGACCAACAACAATCAGGTCAAGGTGGACTCTGTGTGAACAGCATGAGTGTATATCCATGTAAGGCGAAGAGCACACAACCAAGCAAACTTGATTTCGAAAACTAAATCTGATAACCAAAAATGTTGTCAGGATGCAGCCCTGAAACTGTGATTTGTTGCCTCAACACAATTAAAACAAACACGAAATTACTATCATTGTCTTTTATAAAGCACTTTTTTCATCATTGGTTAGTAGTACTTGTACAGTATGTATGTATGAAGTTTTTGTTTTAATGTTTACAATGATCATATCAACAAATATATGTAAAAGATAATTTGTGTAATGGCCTTCTTTATGGCCACTCAATGGTCTTCTCAATGGCCACTGGTGGTGCTGGAGATTCTCCCTTCCATGTAAAGCGCTTTATAATATAACCCAGAAGGCGCTATATAAATTTAACAAATTATTATTATTTATTATTAATGATTTTATTTCTATATCTTTGTCTGAAAGAAAAAAACAATATTAAGGTGTGAATGATAAATATGAAGTGCAACAGTCGGGTTTCGGAAGTATAAACTCTATTCATTTTCTCCATTGGGAAATGCATTTGTAAATATAAACCTTTAAATACAGACATGTTGTGAGCTCTGAGGTTGGTAAGCAATGGTACAATATATGCGTTTGCTGAAGCCACCTGTTTGCATTATTTCAGATGATGTTGTTTTTTTAATAATCATTTTTAACAGCTTAATTCCTGATGGAAAACTGCATTTCCCATGATGCTATAGAAAATGACAACAATCAGACAATTGGCTTTATGCACAGCTGCACTACTTCCTGAAATAAAGCCAGCTCCTTGTTTCCTGTCTGCCATTATTGGACAAATTGATTAATCCAGGTGTCCATGACCTCAGTAGTCACGGCAACAATAATCAGACACACCTGAAGTAATCAAGTTCGGCCAATAATGGCAGACAGGAAACAAGGAGCTGGCTTAAGTTCAGGAAGTAGTGGAGCTGTGCATAAGGTCAATTGTAGCAATCACATTGTGCCAAAAGAGCTCTGCTGGGAAACATGTCAAGGCATTATGTCATTTACAATGCTTAAAGGGACACTCCACTCGTTTGCACTTTCCATTGTTAGAAACCCAGTCATACTATTGAATGGTCGTGCAACACTCTCTCGTTTTCCCCTGAGACGAGAAAAATCTGCTATTTACGTTTTGCACTTCCTCCTACAATGACGCAAAAATCGTCATTTTACGTCATTGTAGGAGGAAGTGTAAGAGAGTGGGATTTCTGTAAAAACTACAAGCACAAGATCTCACCCTTTCAAACCCACCCATAGGGGGTTGGACGTAATGCACTAACAGACCTTTCACAGATCAGTGCCAGTGTGTTTTTGATTTCACCGGCAGAAATGTTTTGAAAATATGGACGAAGGTACTGATTACGCAGACGGATGCTTTATGAAGGATTGGGATTACACATCTTTTTTGGAAGCTAAGCTAGCAGGCTCTTGTTCTGTGGAGAAAGCTGAGTAGTAACTTTATGGGTTACCGCCCCCTTTTTCCTGGACATGTGCGGCAGTCGATGTCCGGGATTTAGCTTTTGCTTTCCGCAGTCGCCATGCATTGTTTACATGTAAGTAACAGCTTTTTTTTTTTCAATCTAACTGAAATCCTTATGATTGGTGAATCTGAATGTAGTGTTTACATGATCGCTAAACAAGTGATTGGTTGATGTGCATTTTAACATTGCTAACAAAATTCCTGCTCCTCCGTGAGATATCTGAGACCGGTAACTTACGTCTCAGGTGCCGTTCATCGGTAGTCACGGCACCGGCCTTGTTTTTTACCTACTGTGCGGTTAGTGGTAGGTGTGGCTTCCTAGGGCAGCGAAGAAAGTGCATTCTGGGAGTTGTTGTCTTTCATCCACATAAGCCAAAAATACATTTTCTGTCTTTTCTCAGTCTAGAAAACTCCAAATTCAAAAATAATTTCGCATTTCTTCTACATAAATTACCCATTTTAAATACACATTCATCTTTCCAGAGGTGGAGTGACCCTTTAATGGGATTTTAGTTCTTTCCCTCCATAAAGCTGTTAAGTACTCTGCGCCTTGTATTGTCTTTTTATCTGATTTTCAAGTACTTTCAAGTAAATAAGTTTGAAATGTTGTGATTCATCTAATAGCTGTTTGGGTTAAAATCCCAATGGGAAAAATGAAAGGGAAAAATACTTCTGGAATCAACACCACTAAAAATGGGGATGGGCACTGTTGCACTATTACTGTATATAAATATATATTGAGTGTGTTTCACTGATGTTGATTATTCAGTGAATAATGAATAACAATGTTGTTAAAATGTGACCAAAACTTTACAAACACTCTACAAAAGAGTTTGCTACGGAGCTTACTGCTTTGAAATTACCTCACCTGGTTTGCCACTGTTACTCTCCATTTGAGAAAGCAATACTCATTGATTGCTGCTTTCCCACAATCCCCAGCAAATATGTATGTAAGTATGAGATTCCTCCTCTTTAGGGTCTCTGTCCTCTCCTCCTGCTACTTTTATTTTATTTTTTTTATTTTTTTTTAGCTTTTTCTGTCTCTGTCTTTTTACTAAACATTTATTCTCTGCCTCTATTTTTGTTTTTATCTGTCCCCCTCCACTCTTTGTATGCATGGATCTAATGACAAGTTCATATGCAAACTGAGTAAAAATATTAAAATCAAAATGTTTGAAGAATAAAAAATAAAATTGGATTTTTATATATCTTGAATATGTGAGAATGACGTTATTATTTTTATTTTATTTTCTATTTAATCATTCTTAAAACAAGATTTTAAAAAGTAAATATTAAAAATTAAAAAAGCAAAATAATAATAATAATAAACCATAAAATGTTTCATCAACACTCCAATATAAGTATTAAAGTACAGTATTAGATTGAAGCTTATGCAATATTTCTAGCTGAACACCCACCACTGTAGCTTGATAGAGAGAAAAACATGCTGTTGTGACATCACTCTGTGTAATCCAACCCAACTGGCTGAACAAGTGCGTGAGAGAGCGAATGAACAACATAAAAATGCCAGGATTTACACTGCCCTCTAACAGAATTATGCACTAATCTGTACCTGTCCTACCTTTATCGTCCTCTGCGACTGCAAGATTTATATCTATTTATAAAAATAACTGAACACTTTATGTGCGTGTGTGGGTATGGGTATTCTGACCATTTCTTATGGTTGGAACATAGGAGGTGGTCAATTTGTGGAAGTTATCATTCACAGTGTTTGGATTTTTTTTTTTTTTTTTTGTACGAACAGGAATTTTAAAGCCACACTATGCATCTCTGATGTTTTTGTAAAACTGTGACCTCTAGAGCTGCTGTGGTGTACTTGCACTGTCATAAATAACCGTTATTCCCCTGTTACTGCATATCTACTGAACTACTGTCAAGTGTTAGACTACTTTATAATAATAAAGTTGCCTATCGCGTCTGCTGGCTTATAACGTTTTTACATGATTTCTGCTAAATCACAAGTTAATAGCCTATAGTGTAGCCATTAAATAATAATAAGGATACTATAATTATAATATTATAAGGATAATATTATACACTAATATTTAAAGTATATTTTAATTATCTAACATCAGACTGATTAAAAAAATAACCACAAAACATAACATGCAAAATGGAGGATCTAGAATTAAAAAAAAAATTAAAAAATTGTAAAAAGAAAGTCGTCTCTCAGTCGTTAAATGTCGCACAACAAAGTTGCTATACAGCCCTGTCGCATCTTACAACTTGAAGGTGTTACAATGTTGCGAGCACGTAGACATCGGCGTTACCATAGACCGTAGAAATGCAGCATGCCACAGATGTTGCCACAGCGTAAATAGATTTGCTGTGGTGCTGCTTCATACTTTTGTGGAAACATGTTACACTATCATTGTTTCATAATCATGAATACAAGTTTAGGGTTTCAGATTTTTTTTTAAAATAAATTAATATTTTTATTCAGCAAGGATTAGTTAAATTGATCAAAATTGACAGTTAAGACATGTAGACATTTTTGTTTTTCTTTTTAGCATTGATAATAGTAAGAACCATTAATAATAATTAAGAACAATAATAATTGAGCACCAGCCAATTAGAATAATTTTGTGATCATGTGACACTGAAGACTGGAGTAATGACAGCTGCAAATTAACCTTGTAGTAACAGGAAAAGGTTACATTTTAAAATGTATTCGAATAGAAAAAAAAAAGTGTTTACATCGCCTTGTCTTGTAATTCATATTCACATTTGAAGCGTATTGTATGTTTTATACACAGAGATAATTTTGACCAATATTCCAAAATCGTCAGCAAGCTGACTATCTAGATAGAGTGGGGAATATTTAGATTAAATGGGACGCTAAATATCATTTCGGCCTTAATAAAAGTAGGGGGTGAGGAAGGAAATTTCCAATAGCACGTGAAGGCAGAAGCTGAATTGAATGAGATGTGAAATGATTCACATGACAGGGCATGAATCATCCAGATTGGTTGTTGTTGCTTGTGGCAGCCATGTTGAGTTGTGATCAAATTTTCACACAGACACAAATGACCTGAGATCTTGACAGATGAGTAATGTGAGTACTGGCAGATTAAATAAGATGCACATTATTTAGTCATACTTTCAGTTTACCCAAGAGAGTCAAGTAACATTTGTTTATATAACACTTATACATACAAATTGAAAAAGCTGGGCCCTGTTTCAGTAAGGAGCTTCAAGCAACTTTGAGTTGAAATTTGAACTTTGAGTTGACTTACCCTGAGACGGGAAACTCTGAGTTTTCGGTTCAGAACAGTTGAAATGAGTTAGTTCAATCAACTCTAAGTTGACTGACTCCGAGTTAAGCGTGTGCGCCACAACTATAAAAAGCCATTGTCAATGGAGGACAGATATTATGAGTCACCATGGTAACAACTGCATAATTCTCACCAACATAACTGTTTTAGTTTGGAAGAAAATAGTTGCTCGAGTCAATGCTTACGTTTACATTTTAATTACTGTTATACAGTGTTGGGTGTAATTAATTACCAATTAATTTAAATAATGTAATTCAATTAAAGTTCTCCCTCTACACACTCTGTTTAATTCACTATATGTCTCCAGATATGTGTACTGTATATTACATTTTTCAGATGTATGTAATTCTAAGGCCTGCACACCACATAAAAGAAGAGTTAAGAGCAAGTGTTATGATTTCACAGAAAGTAGTGATTTCTGTGTTAGTACATTCAATATTTATTCTAATTATGTCCATAAATATTAAATTTTAAAGGGAGTGGGCCATTGAGAATTATGAAAATGGTTGTTCAGAAATCTTACAGACATGAAGAGGTAGATCACATCTAAATGAATCTACGTGGGTGTAAAGTGTAGCTATAAATGGGTTAAATAATTGATTTAGTCAGATTTACTGTACAGATGGGTTTTTTTTTTAAATAGTTGCATACTTTATGCAAATTTGATATTACTTCATAAAAGCATAATGAAATGGATGTAGGCTACTGGTAGTGGTAAATAGGTTTACAGTGCATTGTAAATATGTTTTCTGACTAATTTAAAGCTCTCTGCCAGCACCCCACTGATAAAGTATGCAGTATGCATTCTGTAAGGCTTAAGTTATCAATATTAAAATATTAAAATAAATGAATATACACTGCTTATGTTAATTGTGCAAGCGGTATGAAGCAGGCCTAAGGGGTTGTTTTCTATGCAGTCTATTTGATAATTTTTCTATATTTCTATATTTGTTAATTAATTTTAAGTTAATTTTACAATAAAGCACAGTAAGTGTTTT